ACCGATCATATGACCACAGGATAGAATTCAATCCTGAAACGTCGTGTAAATTATATTAAATACATATCAGGTTATGAACAGCTGCCAATATCTGCTGGAGGTTATCACAGTATTATACCAGGATTGTCCCTGTGCTTAAATACCAGGATTGTCCCTGTGCTTAAATAACAGGATTGTCCCTGTGCTTAAATAACAGGATTGTCCCTGTGCTTAAATAACAGGATTGTCCCTGTGCTTAAATAACAGGATTGTCCCTGTGCTTAAATACCAGGATTGTCCCTGTGCTTAAATAACAGGATTGTCCCTGTGCTTAAATAATTTAAGCACTACGCAATAAAGGGGTATGGGAGAGTGGATGTATAGATCCACGCTTTCTTGACCTCGGCATTAACTGGAGGTGAATGGTCAGCTTCAAACTCCTGTCTCTTTACCCCCGGTACCCAATGGATAGGAGGTTGGACGAACCCCAGAGCCGGTCTGGAAGATGTGGACGAGAGAAAATTCTTGACCCTACCGGGACTCAAACTCCGACATATCGGTCGTCCAACTCGTAGCCAGTCCGCATATTTTATTTAACTATTCGTCGTGTATTTCGCAGGTTATGTGGCGGTGACATGTGTAAATGCGTCACTCTAGAATTTTCCTGGAGGCCTGAAGGACGCAGCAAAAACGCTTACATTTTCAGTGCCAACAATTTTCTGAAGTAACCACGTTACCTCGACAATCAGTATTAATTTTCAGTCACGAAGTTTACCTATGAGGGGTTTACTGGAGATCCGGTCTAGTTCATGACATTGTTTCGGGAGTAGCCTTCAGTGGTTTAGAAGAGAAACATGAAATCTCGGAAGTTGTCTCTAGCAAATAACCGACTGAACCAGAAGCTGAAGTGACTGGCAAAGAACGTGAAACTGATACTTGTTCAAATGGGTTTTACTGAGGTGCGCTGTGGATGTAGGACTCCGATAAAAAAATACTATGCAAATGAAAAATTTTGTGACTTTATTGTTATGTCTAACGGAGGAACGGTTATTAGACAGTAGATTTTGAAAGCCAGATTGAAGGAGTAGGGAAAAATAAAAAATATATAAAAAGACTGAAATAAAAACTAGACAGGTTAAGTTTTACAGCAACGTCATTGTAACAAGTTTAGATATAACGCAGTCACACGGTTAACGTCAGGCTTATGTTGAAACTGGATGCAAGAGTCGTTAAGGCTAACCAGCAACACAAGACAATGAACAGGGGCAATGTCTACAGAAATAACAAATAAATACTGGCACACAGGACATAAAATTGGGAGCTACGACCGAGATAAATGGCTGAAATAAGTACTGAACTAAATTTTCGGTGAGTGAGTACAGAGTCTCATCAAGGCTGATAGAAAGAAAGAAAGAAAGAAAGAAAGAAAGAAAGAGGAAATGGGAGAACCTCTACATCTGGGACATTCCCGTGGTCAAGTTTGTTTCTTTTAATTTTTCTTGAAGACAATCCGGTTATAACCAAAAATCTTCATTTTTGCCTTGCAGTTGGATAAAATCATGCTGTCAGAATTATTAAAAAAACTTAACAGTCTAAACGAATTAGTTCTGTACCATACCAATAATGAACAAAATATTCTAATACAAAATCCATTTCATATCAACAACAAACAAAATTTTCTAATATAAAATCTATAAAACAATGAATAAAAAATTCTTATATAAAGTCTACGACATATAAACAACAAATATAGTATTCTAATGCAAACTCTAGTCCTATATTAAGGGAGTTTAATAGTGACCACACTTTTAAACGTAAGCACATTTTAGAGATATGTGATACATCGATACACAGCTGAAGCAAACTATAATCAGTAGAAAACAAAATTTACGTCTGAAATGTATAAATGCTTCATATGTCTGTATTTGGCATCCCTGTTTACATTCATGAGACAAAATGATCCACAGGAAGTAAACTATTTCATTTAAGCAAAGGGACTGGTTAGCGTATTCTATAGAAAAAAAAAGGAATCCCTTTTTTTTTAAAAAATCGAGTTGAGCTTATGAAATGAATACTATCAATAATTATAAACGCAACTGAACCAGCAGACATCTGTTTCAAAATAAATTATAATATCCATATCTATATAATATTCCCAGGAAACATAACACAGGATTTTAAAGAAAAATGGAGTATTTATTTATGTAAAATAAATGTAAAACTACAAGAAATAGTGTCTAGCACGTGATAAAAAATCTGTTTCTCTATCACAAACATTCTTATCTCTGTAAGATTTGA